TCCAGATTAAAGTCTTATCGATGACATTCGGATCCTACTAGGTTCTATATCCGTGTTATTTATTGGTAAGTAATTGTTAAATCTTATTAGATAAGTATAATTAATAGTTTGAATTCGGTATGTCCATGAATAATTACTTGGTGTGGACTGGCTAGAAGTGATGTGAATCAAATACGGATCTTGACGGGTTTCTTTGTGGTGTTTAGGTATAAATGATTTATTATTCTTTTATTTGAAGAGGTATGCAAAAGTTAAATCTGCCGGTTGCAGATCTTTCTTTATGCCTTAAATGTTTTATAAATTATTAATTAGATATTTATTTACATGACAAGACCATAATCAACTCTCATGGCCTCAATTTTAGGTAGATTGGAACGGTTCGGCCATTTAATGATTTAATTTAAAAATGAAGAAGCAAGGCTAAGATGCGAATGACCAGTACAGTGGTTACGATCAATGCAACTACAACCATAGATACCTCGCCCAAACTAAAGTAATTTGAATAAAATTTTCAATATATTCATTTTGCAGTATCTATTATAGGGAGAACGGCCAGCCCTTTATCTAAATCTTACGTAATTCCCCTTTAAGCGTCGTCAGAAACATAAATGTCGGATATGTTAAGTTTTAAACTGAGAAAAATCGCAGACACTGGTGTTGAAAATCCGATTTGTAATAAGTCTGGTTTCGTTTTGAGATAAATTATTTATATGTCTTTGTAATGTTCATGTATTAAATCGAACTAATAGTCGAAAACTGTTCAAGGAGCACGACCAGATAACTGGGGTAGCAGGTCGTAACACCTTATTCTGCTACAATCTGATGTGACTACTTCTTTTCTAACCTTTCAAAGTTGAGCTTTTAAGAATAGTTAGTTTAGAAGATTTTGTTATAAGAAAATAACACAAGTCGCCGGACTGGAATGTTTACATTTGGAAGGGAGCGATATTAGAATGATCTCAAATTATTCCTTGAGATGACAAGAAAGTAGTTCTCTTATATTCATAAAATCAAACATATTATATAGCTGTAGTATTTTCACTAAAGCATTCTTGTACATCCTTTACACATAAAATAATTTGAAAAAACTCACACATTGACACGAATTGTAATAGTTAAAATAAATCAAAAATCCAGTAGTAATTTCTTAAAATTTTAACACAACAGTGGCACAATTAATTATAAATTTAATGCCCCTTTAAGTTAGGTTCCGATAGTGGACAATATTAAAAAACTACAAATGCCAACCCGTATTTTCTTGGCGTTGATTTTTGTAGCTGTTTTTGGTACTATTTCATTCAAGATGTGGATTCCCCCCTCCCTAAAAACGCTCAAACACCTTTAACGCCCCTGACACCTTTCGACCAAGGTAAATATCGCAATTCAATAATGTTGTGTAGAATTATTGTATTTTCAGTAATAATTCCAAAGAAAGTGTGCAGTTAGTTGATTCCTTTCATGTGAAACAAAGGGATTGGTTCTGTCTCATAAATAAGTGATGATAAAAGTTTTAATTTCATCCTGAGTAATCATACGAGAAATCCGATTATTCACTCGAGAATGTGGAAAATAACTGTTGTCATTGTAGACAAGAACTACTATCATTGCTGGAAAATCCAGGAGAACTTACCCAGTTCCCATACGGAACGAATCTCGACCTCCAGCTCCGGGCCAGTAAGTCAAGACCTTACTTACTGAGCCACAGTGGCTGCTAACTGTTTTATAAACGAAATAAAATACATGCACAGGAAGTGTGGGTGTTTTCTCATCATTATTAAAACAGGAATTTATTTATGCAAACTAGGATTTAATGAAGATAGATGTGGGTTTGTATTTGATTGATGCAGTTGCTGTTTTAAGTATCCCACCTCAAGTACTGCACGGCCTGGAATTTCAGTGTTAATTAAGTTATATTAGTTTAATCGTCTTTTGTTTGGAGTCGCGCGCACCTGATATTTTCGTTACATCTGTAAAGACGAACCGTCAACTGTTACTATTGGGGATTTTGGTCGTTTAGTAAATATTTGCTCCTACAGGTCCGAGAAGACTTTTACTGTCGTGATATGTAGCGCTTTGTTATTTTTTGGCGGGAGAAAGTTGACCGTGGGGGGACGCGAACTGATTTGAGCTAGCCAGACGGCACACCCAAGTTGACTTCTGTTGGTACATTTGGCACGTTCTTATCAAATAAACAGAAATACGGCTATGTTAAGGCCCTGGTGGCCAAGTCGCGTGCTCTTCATGAACCAAACGACGCTAACAGCCGTCACGGGAGTTAAAAAGTGGTGACGTTTAGGATGGCGGGGAGTAGAATTGTTGTTTATTTTCATCTGTTTGTATTTAGTTAAATGGTTACTGTATGTGCCCTGTTTATTGATAATATAACCAACACGGGGTTATAAAAACATGGAGGTCTGAAATTTATGACAGAAAACAGAATGCGCCGGTGATATAATAAAAACACTAGCACGAGCCACGATATTAAATAAAATAATGATACCGTTAAGAGTTAGACACGTGGTATCCATCCGCGTTCTGATAACCATGGTATTCGGTTAGAGAGAGAAAAATGCTACGCGTTAACCCAAGCAGTTTGATATGTTTATAAAATGTGCTATCTTGTTGAGAGTTTACCTTGTAACTTTATATCAGGTTTTCTCAAGGGAAGAAACGGTTAAAAATAATACTGAAACATTCTTGTCTAGAGGTAGAACAAACCCCATTCACTGACTTCACGCAGAATTTACAAATATAAACTTCCTTTTGTAACTTAAGTTTTGCATTTTGCTTTCTTATCTGACCGATATTTCAACACCAGAAATAGAAAGTCTAATGAAATAGCTTGATTTCTAGAAAGATTTCTCTATCTGTGTAGCAGGAGCTTGGAATTTAGATTATGTTCGATACAGCAGAATTCCTGTTTATTACAGGAATATCCATTTGTAATGATAATTTGAAGTCAGTTCTATTTCTACGATATCTAGTTTTAATTCCATGCGCTCACTTCACAGGCTTTAATATCATCTCTACAGATGCATACATGACATTCTATATTTAAGATTTCGATTAAAAAGTAAAATGCCACCCCGACGCTTTATTGGTCTAAAAAAAGGGTTTTGTTTTATCTTTTGTTGTTGACCCGCCATTCCTAATGGTTAGATTTTTCCTTGTGTATTTTTCTCATTCAAAATGATATGATTCATTTTTTTCCCTAGTAAAATCACGCCAATATAAAATTTTTACATTGGTTTGTTAGAAACAAAGTATTTCCTCAAACGGCCGAACAAACATTGGCGGCTCTAGAACATCTCTTTACATATGCGCTATTGTTTTCTGTTGGAATCCCGCGAGTGGAGAGGCGTTTGCTACAAGCGTGGGAATATGTTGCCGTAATTGTGGGCTGCAGGCAGAAATTCAGAAACTAAATATTGTCTTATTAATCAGTCGCACCCGTGACGAGGGCGGTCACGTGGGTTCGTGTTGATTTTTGGTAGTAAAGGTGATCGAGGATGGATATAGTTGTGGATGCTTCCTAACTGATGGCGAGGATGATGAATAAGATGCGGAGATACCGGTAGATGAAGTTATCGTGTGGTTTGTTTGACGCTGACTGGAACATGTCACGAGATCTGACGACAACTATAGTCATTTTATCAGACGACCGGATCAGATTAAGTGAAGTTAGAAACGACCTAGCTTTGTGTTTGACGTATAACGAGTTATTGGACAAATCAGGTGTATAATTCATGAATACATAATACGGATGGACCCGAGTGTATATATACATATAGATTAGTTACTTACCTTTACTAGTGTTAATGCATATCACCATTTACATATGACAAAGTGTTTCATCGAAAATGAGTATTTTGGATTGTAATGTTTTATATAATCGGTCTGGAGCAGATAAGGTAAATAAAATAGTCTAGTGTGGTTTATTCTAACGGTTTATATATCATAACATACAATATCTATTGTTTCGCTTCACTTGTTTTTATTTGCGGTACGTTTGAGGGTATTATGATTATGTGTTTATCGGTTAATATATCATGATAAAAGTTATACATCTTTTATATATATAACTTGAAACTATTCATATTAATACATTTTGAACTAAATAATGGTCGATTTTAAATAACCAAAGAAAATAAATTGGTTAACAAAATCAAAGAAAACTGATCGATAATAGTTCGATCATTTCTTATAATAAATTTGTATATCAGCATAACTGAAATACATTTTTGTTTCAGAAAAGATCATTTAAATAAATATTTGAGATTGCAGTTCAGAGAAAATTTCTCTATCGGTATTCGATTATGGCCGCTTAATGTCCTTGTTTAGTCTCTATTAACTTAAAGTAGTCTAGCGTATTTTTTAATATGATAGATCTCATTTGACACGCGTACCCATTTCTGTCACAAAACTGGAAAACTATATAAGTCCATCGTTAACGAATGACTTGTAAAAAGATGCCATTATATTTTGATGATCTATGTATGTTCGACAAGGCGACGTCTTAACAACACGATTATTATTGATAGTTCTAAATGACACGTCGATTATTATCATAATGATTGTAATAATCACTGGCAATTAATCTATTTTCAATTTTATATGTTTTTATGTATAGTATATATAGCAAGGTGTGATCTTGTCTTTCAACATTTGTGGATCATTTTCTTATTATTAGCGGTTATATCTCAGCTACGTACTGGAAGAATTTTTTGGTCTTGTGTAGAATTACTAATGCCAACTGTTGTATATGACACTCATATATGATGATTTATAATGATCCCAATCGTAGGTATTTGATAATAGCTAATTTAAAGTATCAATTATATTTGAAATATCTTTGTATTACTGTGTTTTGCGTGGTTCAGTTTACATAAAATTTGAGACAACATGTGTTTATCCTTGGAAGACTAATTAGACTGATTAAAATCTGAACATTGTGAGTATACATGTTACCTGAATTTATATTAGCTTTCTCTTTCTTACAGTGGATATAAAAGGTCGTTAAAAAGTGGATCCTATATTTATCATCTGGATATATTTTACACAATTGAAGGTAAGTCTTTTAATATTTTATTTCTCGATATTTATACATTTATAACTACGATTATTCGCAGTTTATGAGTATATGAAATTCGGTTTCAGGAAGTTAAAGATATTTTTTTTTGATTACGTGTCAGCTAATTAGAGTTACAACAATCAAACAGCATAGATATTAATAATCTTAAAATTTGTTCAAATTATTCATAATTTAATGTAAAACGTCAACAAAATATCGGTTTACCTAAATTCGATATCGTATAAATATATTTTAATAAATATAGGATGTAAAGGGACAACTTGCTATAAAGAGATCAGGTGACCGTAGATATTAATATGAACAATGTTTTCAATAAAAAATGTATTAAAAATAATGAGATCGGAATTGCATAAAACCCTCCATACATATCGACCTAAGTTATTTGCGAAATTCATCCTGTTACAGTTACCACCTCAGGGGTTGTATTAAATATCTGACAGTCGTATTATTGTACTTAATTATGTGTGTAATATTGTAAACTGGGTAATATGAAATATATGCATACTCACAAAATATGGATTTTATAATAATTGAATGATATTATGAGACAGTGGTGAAGTGTTTAAACTAATTTCACACGTTTTTAGTTTTTGTTTAATCGCTAGAGAAAATATGGAATGTCTAATAAATGCACTTTTCAATGATACAAAATATTCATAGATTTGAAAATGGATATGAAAAACTGAGCTGAAGTTTTCAAAATAAGACAGATATTAACATAAGAATAGTATCTGATTGATGTGAAACACAGAATATTACTTTTTGTAATCATTTGTACTAAAGCCACGACTTTGCCCACGGGCTTTGGTCTTATTTGAATGACAATCTAATGAAGACACATTCTCAGTACATTGACATGTATTATGGTCAAACGTTGATGAATCGAAGGAGGATTAGTTTTCATAAACATTTTCTTCATACATATTCCAAATTCTTCACACATATCTAAACTTGACTCGTCGTCTGCTCTTTTGGTGGCCATCTTGACTGGAACCCCCGGAGATCTAGCGCGTGGGAATGTGCATTGCACGCGAAGTTACCGGCAATGGTGCATGCCCAAGTGGCACATATTAACAGCTGAGAAAATGTTTTGATGGGTTTGAAAGGAAAACGAGAGTAAAAGAAAGCATTATCAGGAATACCAATAAGGTACCAGTTCAACAAGTCAAGGGTAAAAACAGAAATAGAACAACAACTACAAAGCTAGTCGGCCAGGAACAAAGAGAATTGGCGTGAAGTTGAAATTGGTCAGAAAGGAGTCAAAACGATACCATTACAATTTAATGGATATCATATCACTCAAAATTAGATTCTGTATTGAGTTGTAATTTTGGAACGTTGATGTGAAAGACAAATAATCCTTAATTTGTTTTTCATTTTTTAAGCAATTTGTTTAGGTGCTTCCATTTTGTACCACTGCATGTTGCGTAAGCATTCATTTAAGGCTAGGATCGCAGACCTCAATAATTATATCGGTATACAATGCAATGCCCATTAAAAGTGTTTGTTCATTAGAAGGAAATTTGTTATTGCATTATGAATTAAAGACATCCGCCAACGCGTTGTCGTATTAGATAATAGAACCATACATTTTTGTAATTAAACAGATGAATAGACAAAATTTGCTAAACAACTATTTCAAAATTCCATCACGCTATGTAAACGTCAGTATCAATATATGCGATTTCTATAATTGCATAACCTGTCAAGAAAAACTAGGGGAACACAACAATGCATTATAAAGATTATTCATCGTGTATGTAAATACATGGCATACATTAGCGGAATTGCTCATTTGTCGCAATGCTTTAAAATACAATAGTGTTCACTGCAGAAACATGTATTTTTATACGGAATCACGATAACGTCAACCCCTTATGTCCTGTACTGAAGGATTTTAATTTGGGTTTCTAAAGAAGATTCATATTGCCGGGCCAGAAGCCAAATTTTCTACACTTTTACACCAAACTGTCGAACCAGATACACAAGGCGAGAAATCAATTCTTATATTTTCATTGAGTAGTCTTTTGTGTAGAGAATACTGGAAATTTACGAATTCGTTGGTTCACAGCGGTAACAAAGTTATTTGATTCTAGACGACAAGGGTGACGATGGTAAAAACGAGATATCGACCTCGACAAAAAGTAGACAGAGACAGAAGAATGTTTTTAATGACACCTTTTACCTTAGACTAACACCAAAACGAAAAAAATAAACAAAGCATTGTTTCTATGTTGAATGCTGGAAATACCTGACCATAAAAAATATAATGATGCGGAGATAAGTAAGAGAAAAATAATTAGTCGAACAGTTGCACCTATTGTTAATTAATCTGTTTTCATTCCTTTGTTTTATTTTTTCAAGAAAAAGTCATTGTTGACATGTATTCTCTTATCTCTTGCAAAACGCACAAGGAACACCCCGAATATTTACCAGAAGCGGAGAAGAAAAGCTGCCTTGTATTCGCCATTGTGAAAGTTTGCTTAGAGGGTTCCGTCTCCCAATCAAAGACGAGGACCGAAGAAACGAGTGGCCTAACGTTCGGGGTCGTTTTGGTTTTGATACATGAACAGCATTCCTTGGCTTGTTTTATGTGAGGGAAAGCAAACTGCGACAACCAACACTCATCTCACTCTACGCCGTTTCTATTTATTCACCGAAGAACAATAGGGAGAAATGATAAACGCTTTATTTACCCTACATGATAGGTTTAGACAACTTCGATAGAAAGCACGCCGATATTTAGAATTCCACTTTGTTTTATCCCGCTTGTTGTGTTTGCTTTCTGCCTTGGATGTTACAATAACACTTTTCATGGGACTGTGGAGGTAGTTAGGATGGGGTTTGATCGGACAACAATTTGCAGTGTAGTTAGACAAAGAAAGTTGATCCTCTACCACGTTGTTTAAACTTAAACAACCTTTTGGTCACTGAGAAAACAGAAGTAACAACACGGGTAACCGACTAGTCCCCATTTAACTCCTCCAATCCTCCAACCCGTGATCTAGTCTTCTGTCTAACATCAGAATCAACACGACTGCTAGCCGTGCAGATTCCAAACTCAGCTCGATACAAAGACTCATTGCTTGTCTTGGGATGACTGACGAATTAACTTTAATTCGTCATGAAAATAACGGATTATCCTGCTTAGAGGGCGGAACGTGTTATTTTTGCCCAACAACCGAGTTCAGGCATGTTGTGGTGGACAGAGACGAATGCTCTCTTTAGAAGTTTCGAGGTGAAGTTGACAATGATAAACCGAACCGACAAGCACTCAGTCAAAAAACCTAAGTCGAAGGTGACTCAAACTTACAGATATACAAGGTTGGGGATTTCTGTTTTGATTTTTTCTGTTGTATTCAACATGTGGGACACGATCAGAAGAGAAGATGGCTGTCCATCATGTTGTGCATCTAGCATCTTGTAAAATACCGTAGGAGGACATTGTACTTAATGACCCCAAAATCTTCAGTAAATCACGTGGTCGCGAAACATCCTGTCTGTGATGAAATATATACATCTTTTAGAAATCTAAAATATTTTGTTTATTCTGTATAGTTTGACTATTATCGATAAAAAGGAGAGTAATTCTAATACAGTGTCCCCAGATCTCACCACGTTTTACTTGGAAAGTTATTGATCTCTTAAAAGATATAATTTTTATATAACAGCAAAGGTTCCCGCAAATAATAGGATTAATGGGCATTTCTGTAAATTAAGTATAATCATTGATCAGTAGCAGATATATTTTCAATACATGGCTTTACTAATTTACTATCGTGTATGTAAATCTTTTAGAAAGAACGATCTAAATTGTGAAAGACAGTGACGTAGGGATTCTAAGGGCTAATACGGTCGGTCTTGACTTCTGTGCAGCAGATAGTTTATAGTATTTTGACAAGTATAAATCCTTGATATTGTCCCAAGAGACAGCTTATAATTTTCTTTTTGTATCCAAAACAGTAGAACTGGAAAGGGTGTAGTATGTAACTCCAAAGGTAGTTGCAAACCGAAAACTAGGCGTGTTAGTAACTCAGTTTATAATGTACTAAATCTACCACCATCAGACATCATTATAGTAGTTTGCATGTACTTTTTACTAAACTTACATCTATCTGTCTACAGCATCACGTCTTAAACATAACCCTTCACTAATTCACATGTCACTATCCATCCCACTTGAAGGCAACCAAAACAATCTCGGCTAGACGAAAGTTCTCGATTCTTTCATCTAACAGTTTGAACACGGGGCTAAGAAATAAAAAAAGCTTAACATATTGATAGAAATCGTTGCCAAAATCCTAACTCTAGTGATGGTGATTTGATCACCAAAGCTTATAAGATAAAATAAAATTTTGGGATATCTTCGTTTCTTGGTAGTCTTTCAGCTGTTCCGCAATTTGTGATAACTGTACCTGACGTTTAGTACTGAATTTAATCCTAGACAAGTTAGTCCCACACAGGAAATGTCACTTTGAAACACATCTTCATTTTGTCTTGTAATCCTACCCGAGCAGAAATGAGGTTACTAGAGATAAATGGAAAATGTTTTATATTGTATCTTCTTCTTGTCTTTACTTATTTTGAAGTAGTCACCTATTTCTTAACTGCTGGAATAGGTAGCTTAGGATTTGAATACGGCATTTATGTCGATTTATCTTAATTAAAGATAAATTTGTCAATGGTGGTCTGTATGGTTATTGTTGGAAATGAACACCTAATACCACTTTTGCGTTAGGGTATTGACTGTTTAGGAAGTCGACTATTTTTTAACTTTCTTTTCCGTTTAATTTGATTGGACGTCCTTGATAAGCTCTTAGTACTTCATAACATTTGTATTCTGTCTTGAGAATGTTTCAAAAGTTTCGGTAAAATCCGATTGATTAAGTGAAAGTTAATACTTTGATAGCTTTCTCTTATGGGAGAGATTTTACGTCCGCTTCCACCTAAATGATATCGCACTTTAATAATTAGTTAGAGCAAAATATTTCAGACCAAGACTATAAATTTGTTTACATAATATCATTGATGTAGGTGGTCAGAGGTCTGACCATAATTAACTACTAATAAAGGAAGTGGCACGTGGCCATATTTATCTTTTGAAACCAACGAATATTGATCAAATTAGTTTCAGAGTTTACCGTTTCCGTTTCTAATACTTTAGTTTCGTGTAAATCTTATTGGATCGCCTTCTCTTTAACTCCACGCGCTAATAGTCAATAAAAGTCATAGGACACGCGGGAAGTCGTCAATGAGCCCTCCTAGAGCGCGGGTAATTCGATGAGGATTTCTTTAAACATTTAATTATTCCAATTTAGATGTTGCTAGCGGGCTTTGATTTGGTAGCCAGTCACACATGTTGACAATAGCTATATTTATAGGTACCACATGATATTCTGGACTTGTTTACGTCCAGAAATAAACATGGCGGACAAATATGCGCGCCAATTCCCCGTCGTCTGTTAAAGTCAATTAAACAAACGAATGTCCAGTCGGTTAGGCTCGTCTGCAACCATAATTAGAATCTATCCTCAATATTTCGGGTATCGTCTGATGCGAATATGTATCCCATTATCTATATGTAATGAGATTAAAGTCTATTTCACAAATCCAGAGGAATTTAATCCCCACCCATCTTCCATGTTAATCAATAAACAATTTGTGCTTCGTATTTCTTCTGATCTAGGAGTTGCCGTTCCTGAATTTAATTAATACCAATTTGATCATAATGAATCATTTAGGCGAGCTCCAATAAAAAAAAGAATGTCGCTAAATTCGTCTTTGACTAACATAAGATTTCATGTCAGTCACAAATTGATAAGCATTATCACTGCTATGTTATATACACCAAGTTTTCTCGCTATACAAATTAACAAAAGATGCTTTAAGTTGGGAATCTACTTCAGTAATGATTAAGGTTTTTGTCTATTCATATTTTTTTGCTAGTTTATAATTGAATTATCTTTATACAAAGGCGTTTTGGGTCTTCCTTTCATTCTCTTTTTGTGTTCGGTTCAAGTGGTCGTACTTGATTTCTTGTCTCTGGCATGTTTCGCGACTCCGAGCTACACGATATCAAAGAAATATCTAAAAGCGACCGAACATGTTTTCTTGTTCCAAAAACTTCTTTCAGTTTGTTCAGGAATGACATTAGGGTCAATGGGCGAAGTTTAGATTAGGTATTGGACAGGTTTGGTGTATTTTAAGTTTAGTGTCGTCTGACTTTTTTTTAGTGGTATTGATAAATGAAGGTATTTTGGGTGGTACATAAGAGTGCATATCATAAACATAGCAAATGAACTTTTCAACCGGGTCATGTTTCTACCATAAGCGGAGAAAGTTCACAAGATTATTGAAATGCCGTCGTACCTGATATCACTGCTAAATCTGCTAAATATTATTGACACAAAATATGAATATAACTAAAGGAATATTTAATGTCGTTAAGATTATCTCAGTTGAGGTAGTATGATCTGTATGTTTGTTAGTTCATCAGTGGGGCTAAACTTCTCTATATCACGCTTTTAATTGGAATCCCAACACTATTGCCGACAGTGCACCAGACAGACTATAAAGCTGTCTTCTGCTCCAAGAACACTTCCCAAGGGGTGGATACATTAAAAATTGTAAAGCCACACTTTTTATGAGAAAAGTGTCACGGTCGTGTGCTTTATTCTTTATCATCAGATGATGGGATGGGGTGGGCATTCAAAGCGTGAGATAACGATATAGACATATGTGATCTCACAATTAATGCTTTGCATCAATGAAATTGAATTACGGTGTGATCATACCCCCCCCCCCCACCCCCTCGCCGCATCCCACCAAAGATACATTGTCACAGGAACCTGGCAGACTGCCTCCTGCACAAATTCCTGTATTTTCATATGGTGTCGCTAGATGAGTGTTCATTTTACAATTTGACTCTGTGTGCCATCACCCGGTTGGAACTTATTTCACATGTCTTTTATTGACATCTTGTTCTTGACATGTAAATGTATTTGCTATTTGTTACGATATGCTTGTCAAAATCAAATAAATTTTAAAAGTTAATAAACAAAATATATACTGTAATAAAGTCACCGAAAGATTGGAAAAGAATAATTTAGTTTCTAAAAAAAGCATTCTGTATACTAAGCATTAATATAGTAATATCGATCTTGCAGGATAATTAAGTTTAAGATTCAGGTTGTTGCTTTTCTTTTCAAGTCTTTTATATGGTCTGTACCTGTTTCTGAAGCTGGGATCTTGGTAGTTGACTATTACATGTTTATACATGTAAGAACAAAGACAGTATTGTAGTACAACGTCAATAAGTCTGTTTATTTTATTTCTTGTGTTTGTGTGCTAATGGCTCGTGGTCATTGTTAGCCATAATCAACATGGCTGCCGGGCAGTAGGCATCATTGTTTTGAACACAGACACGTTCAATTTTTTACAATACTGTTGTGTTTTCGTGATGACACGAAACGCAGAAATGGCCAGGGATTGATGACAAGGGTTCTTTAGAATCAAGGAATTTGAGATAATCTTGTTTCTAAGTTAGATATACTGAAAATAAAATAAATGAAATATTTAAGGACTAGTTATTGTGAAATATCCTTTGACGATTGTTGGTGTAAACCCCCTTTCTTTTTTTATAGTTCAAAATTTCGTTTTACTTTCCTTTACTACTCTAGGATCTGGAAGAGTTGCTATATGACCCGTGTTCTGGTTGATGTGAGGGATTAGCCAATGAAACGGTCTGTTGCAATCTGATATAAACACAGATCCTATTTCGTTTCGTTTTTTATAGTTCAAAATTTCATTTTACTTGTCTTCACAACATTAGGATCTGGAAGAGTCGTTATATAACAGGCGTTCGAGTTGATGTGAGGAATTAACCTATGAAACGGTCCGTTACGGCGAGTTCTTGGCGTGCTCTGCACGGAACTGTGGGTAAACGCCAACGCTGATTTATTAATCAATGTCTGACGTCATAGGGTCAAAAGCCTCCCAGTACAACTGGTCAGATCTTCATGCAGTGGGGGACATCGAAAGTATAAAAAACGAAACGAAATATTGACCTGTGAGGTTATAACTATCGTATAATTCTAAGGAACCAGTATAAAGCCGTGTACCTGAAACTTTGTTGCCCTCTTCATGGTGAAAGCGGACGTTATTTCACACACACTTTATCCCACTTCCTCAGTTCTGTCCAAACACTACCATTTCCAGTAAAGTAGTCTTTCCTGACTAAGCCAAGAATCGAATGACATTGGTTTGAACATTTTGCATAATGTCATTACATGCGTAAGAAAAATACTATAAAGTATAGGATAATGTCACATTTTTTTTATGATAAACAACATGGCGATAAACGAAGAATTACCACCCGAGGTTATACACCTTCCCGATTGAACTATTCATGTATTTGTCAGTTCAGGGAGGACGTCTACAAGTCTTAAGGCAGCTTTAAAATAACTTAATTTAAAGTGATTGCTAATCTTAAGTTAAATATTACAATTATATATAAGTTTGAGAACATTTACCTGGGATTAGGGATTTAAAATATTTCTACAAATACGATTGTGTACAAATATGATTTACTAAAGCACAATACCCATGGGAAAGGTTTCAAATTAAATTCAAATACATGCATGGTTAAAATTAGAACAATATAGAATAGGCAAGCATTAGTGAAGATAAGTAAAACTAAATTTTGAACTATAAAAAAGAAACGAAATAGGATCTGTGTTTTAATCAGATTGTATAGGTCTATATAGTAAATGTCGGGGGACAGCACAACACAAACCCTACGAGACAAACATGCGGACAAAACACACAAACTACATCAGACAATGCAAGCAATAAACAAGAAACTATTATATCAAATCAAGTGTAATACTCGAAGTAACTGCATCGCTATCCTATAATTACACACATTCAACAATCCACTCCTCGGTTCATTAGGATAGTACTGTTCATATAATTTTCTGAAGAATCCTTTCATTTTGTTTATGAATCAAGGCAAAAGAGTAAGACGTTAGTGTGTACACGTATTTGTTTTTAACTAAGTGATAAAGTAGCATTAATTGATAGAAGAGCTTTACAAGTAGATCAAGTTTATCTTAAAAATTAGTTTGTGTGTTTAACGTGTATTGGAAGACAACATGTCCACGACAATAAATAAACATACGATACAACATGGCGAATAGGAGCTAGTCAACATGGAGATCGGTGTTTGTGGTTCAAGTAAAAAGTACACAGTGCATATGGGGCCTTAGCAGCGAGTCTCTGAAAAGAAAAAGAAATTTGACATTCTTGTATGTAGAATTACATGGAATCCACAGCTCACTCGCCTTTCATCTTGTGTTTTCAATTGGACTAATTTAGCCATGTTTAATGAAACTAGGGTGCGTTTGTGATTTGCACAATTAACATTTAATTTTATCCAAATTTATTCTTGTGTATTTGTGCAAGGAACGAAGTTGCAGTAGCACTATTCATATTTATTGTTGGTCTATTTGGTATGATTGCTTTAGCTTGAATACTGAATAGATTTATGTTTATTATGCATCTATTTGGACACCTAACGAATGGCACTTAACGAAATGGTCCCACGGTCTATGAAATACAGTTTTGGTTTAGGAACAATATGTGAATAAATGATGAATAAAAAACAAACTTAACCCGAAATCATACAACACATATTACACAGCCAAGAACAACAATTGATGTTTATGTGTAGAGTTCGCGTGGATTCTAACGACAAACGACATCTTGAATTACCGTACCCGTGATAATAAAACGTAACTTTTAATTGGTTACTGGTTAAAACAACTTTTGATAATGTCACGCATTTATGTATTACATAATATCCAAATAAGCCCTTGTGCGTTTAGGTGTATTTCTCGTAAATACTACGATTAAATGTGTGAATAAACACGTAAAATCAACAGGTAGCATGTAAAATTAATCCCGAAATAATTCTAAAACGAAATTCTCAGACAAACTGGTCTTAATAGCCCACCCATGTAAATAAACATGTATCTAGAATATCCAGTCTGATATTGACACCTGAAAATCTATATCTTCTAGGTAGCCTCGGTTGATACTAGACTAAATCTAGTAACATTAAAAATGTGTTAGTTTACGTCAACGATGACCAGATTTTTCTAATTTTGTAAATATAACACCTTTATTTCAAAGGTTTGTTAAACGATATTCAATCTCCGATATCCCACCAAAGCTCTATCTGGAAGGTCCATGCGAGCATACCGTCGTCCAGTAAGAAAAAGGCGGCTGAACTAAATGGTGCCATACTTAATTATTTTGCATATCTGTTTGGGGAGGGAGGCGAACCACTGGATATAAATTAATGTCGGATCATGTCCCATATCAATAAACAACAATTCGTCACAAGACAAATATTTCACGGTTTAAACTTTGGTCTAACTAGCTAATGGTGAACAAGGATGGCCAGGAATAAAGAAATGTTAATTAATCCACCTGAAATAATCACCTTATCTTAATCACCTGAAGGTATCCATACATGGATTGGTCTACCAACCATTTATACATTATTCAAGACACAACTTCGTAGCAAGGTGGGTTAGAATCTTTCGCCTATAAATTATCTGAAAATCTTTCATTTCTCACGTTACCTGCACTTAATAAGACTCGCTAAATTTTACCCCAGTCTATCTTCAAACGATTTCCCATGCTCCTCTTGGTCTCATTTGCATATAAACCGTTTTCACCCTGGTACAGTCGATATGAACTAGGCAATTAGAAAGTAATTAAAAATCGTTTATCATAGTTAAGAGTGTTTTAGTATATTCACAATTGTAAATAGCATTAAATTAAGCTTATTTACACGCACGTATGCATACATAGATGCATTATGTATACCTGATAACGCTTGTTTCAAAAGCGTTGCTTTTAACATTGTGTGGATCGTGGATTAAGAAATACATGATTTAAAATGCACACTAAGTAGCTCATGCGCCAAGGTATATCGTTTATATTGAAGCACGGCGCTGTTTTATAGTTATTTGAAAGAAAACAAATGATTTTGCAAGTCCGGTTTATATTAGTCTTTCGGATGGGACCATAAACCAAGGTTATTGTGTACAAAGTAATAGTGCACATAGAAGATCCCTTCGTGGTTGGAATTCTAATAACAGTACATAGTTAGAAACTATGCTGACCGGGAAAAAGTCTCTCCTTTTAACAGTCAACATATAATGTAAAAATGAAGATGTTAAAATATCTTTCAAATACAATTATTGCGTTTTTTCTTCGGATAGATACTCACTGTAACCATCTGCCATATTGTCTTGTATGCATATCATGATTAATTCAATTCGTTTCTAAAGGTAGTCTATACATTATAATTAGAAAAGAATGAATGCCTATGGCCATACAATCGAACACTAATTTCCTAATGATCTGAAACAGAAATTGAAATATCTAGTATTTTTATATTGTATGTTTGAAGTAATATATGCTCAGTAAAAGTGTAAAGGGTTTCTAAAATTGTTGAATGATGAAAGGAATTCGTGAGCAGGCTAGTCATGCAACTGATGTTCTGATTGGTAAATTATTTACCCTTAAGGTACTCGGTATAGCGTGTCCACGATTCTTAGTGTACAGAGGTCTATTCCAAAAATATATATTTCTGCGTTAGTTAGAATTTAGCTTACATATAAATGATCAACAAAATTAACATTAGCATTGAGTTAAAAACGAATATCAATATTCGCGGTATTCAACTTTCAACGCGCGGTTCAATTACCTAATCAAAGTCTCTTGCTGATTTTGTATTCTTTACTAATAACAAGACCCTTTAATAGACGCTCTTTTCTGTTTCGGCTCCATTAAAAATGTTGGTCTTTTCAATGTAACAAGTCTCTGTTTGATGTTGTGTTAAGCGAAGTGCTGTTTTTGATTTCTCTGTCTTTATTTTAAGCGTTAGCTCGGGGCACAAATCGAAGATATCATAGTTAAAGTTCTAGTACAAACTGTAAAGGTGGGGTGTTTGATTTTTATCTCTTTAAATATTTGATCTGTTATTATCCTAAAATAATTCATGGTCTTTTCGTCCCATTGCTTTATACGGCGACAAATAAATTGTTCGGTTTAATTTATGTATATTTATGTGATGGTGTTCTGGTAATAGTACTATCTCTCACGGAACGCTAGAATTCTTGGATGGTTTTTTTTATTGAACAAATCGGTAAATGTCCGATATGCATTTAAAAATAGATTGATGACGTGGTCCGCGGACTCTATATCTGCGAGGTTCAAATGATGGGAGTTTAAAGGAGCTAAGTCTCTAATATTTGGGATGTAGAAATTGAGACGTCAAATGAGTAGCAACGCATATGATAATGTAATATGCATGTATATACACTGATTTACATTCAATCGTTTCTGTTTTAACGCTAATTTAAAATCAGTCACGTTCGGTGAAATACGCCAGAAGTCTCAATCGAATGGCAATCTCTAGCGTCTGTTTATTCCAGTCTACACCGATAGTATTTATTGTACATGCTCTTCAGATAAGA